AAGCTGGAAGAGGATGACCAGGAGGAGGAGGATTTTATGGGGCCGATTATTTTTCATTTCTCATCAATATTTTCCAAGAAAATAACTCCACAGAAGATTGTTCCCTTCTAGCACATTGAATAGAAAAACAGCTTATTGTAATACATACTATATTGTGTTATATTATACTATACAGAGAGCTATCTTGAGCTGGTTGTTAAAATCCCAGCCTAGAAATCAGGAGACTTGAGTTTTTCTCCTGCTTTAGACATGAAAGCCAGCAGGGTGTCTTTGGATTAGTCATTTTCTCAGCTCACAATGTCAGATTCGGCTACCAAGCTGATCAGTCAATTTCTGCCCCAACCAATGGATCAACCAAGCGTTGTTCGGAAAACAAAGGGGACCCTGCATTGCAGAAAAATGCAGGAGGAAAAAACAACTTACGTGGCTGGTTGTTATAACCACTCAGAAGTGGATCTTGAAATAACCATGGGGTGGTTAAGTATCATTGGTTTCAGGCAAATTTGCTTTGGTTTTTCCCAAATCTCTCTCCTTCTTTCTTTTTTCTTTGCTACTTAGCTGGACTGAATGAGCAGATGAAAGCAGTGAGGAAAAGAAACGAGACATCTGTAATTGATCAAATTGGAGAAGATTTGTTAACTTGGGTAAACTAAATGTTTGTGTGTGTACTATGAAAAACAACACAAGTTTGGGGCTTTTTTATCTGAGAATTGAAATATTTGAGAAATAAAAGATCAGCTGAGGTACAACTGCTTATCTTGTCTAGAAATCTATTATCTGAAACTCTTCCATTCCGGGCAGTAATAATAAAATAAAAGGGGCAGTATTAATATAGGAAGATTGAGAAGCATGGGCATGTATTTGCTTCTGCTAAGAAATATCTAGCTGAATGACTTTCTTATATAATTAATATGTGAATAAGGTAATTTAGCTTAAAGGTGACCATACCTCCTAAAGAAAAAATAGGACTTTTTATTCTCTAAAATTTGTTCACAAAGTCAAGAGAGTGCAAAAGTTGGAAGTGATAGGTAGAAAAAGTTATTAAGCGTCTTGAAATGTTTCAGGCCATAAGTTCTCACTTTAGGTTTTTGGAGTCAAGTAAGAATATTTAAAATTCAAGAGTGCAGCAAGTATTAATGCATCCATCAGGGCATTAAAGGGTTAATCAGGATTCACTAAAAATGAAGTATGCTGGTATTTAGTAGCAATAGGTTTTATGATAATTACTATTTAATCTTGGGAGTTGTATATTAAAGCTGGAACCACGATTTTCCAAAATTTGTGTACACGGAAAGAAAGAGGCAGATAGGTCTTCCCATGAAGTGGCTAACACAGAAACATGTTTTGTCCTAAGCACCCATCTGCTGTGTAAATAATTAATTCATGCTAGCAGTAGGACTAGACNATGACAGCTTAAATGTTCAAGTCAATTGTTGACTACTGTTTTTAGTCTTTTATAACTGTGCTCCTCATTGATATGAAGTTCATCTTGAACTGCTCTTGAGCTCTCTGTCTAAAGTGATCAATTTAAAAAAATCACTTTATCAAGTAATGTTTTCATAAAAGTGTGTTTTCCTTTCTAGGTTAGGAGAATCAGGGACTCCAAAACCTTTCCGCAAGTGAGTATAAGCATACATGTTTTGAAAATAGATTTGGCCATAGTTTCTTATATTAGTCTGACTATAGCGGAAGAAAGAAAAGTCCCATAAACTATCAGCATCTTTATTGACTTTGGATAGAGGCAACTAGAAATCCAAATACATTCATATGAAGTTTTCCTGTGAAACCTAGATATGGTGTAGAGCAAGTGGATCCTCTTTAAAATTTAATTAGTTGTTATCTTGTCTTTGGGAAATGTGCCTTTCCCCTTTTTGCTGAGCTACAACCTTGTGACTCTCTCCACCTAAAGTATAAAAAGAAAATTCTGAGGATACAATACAAAGCTTGATTAGACATCATTTCTAACCCTAAGGCAAGTGTTAGTTACCAAGGACCCAGGCTACGTGATCATTCGTTTTTTCCCCTTACTCTTCCCACAGACTTCCCCTTGCTAAAGTTAAAGAGGCTTCTTTCCTTTCCCTCTTCCTAGGGTGGACAGTGTGAATGCTGGGGATGTCCAGAGTGAAGATGAGCTCTTCGATTTCGACATGGAGACTGACCAGCCCAACTGGCAGCAGCTGGTGAGCCGTGAAGTGTTGCTTGGCTTGAAACCCTCTGAAATTAAACGCCAGGAAGTGATTAATGGTGAGTTTATGGAGGAGGGGGGGCATGGGAAGGACCAGGGGGATGCCATGCTTGGTGGTTTCTTTGTTTTCTGTAACCAAGGTGCTGTGTCCACCCTCAAAATTGCAACGTTGGCTTTCAGTCACCTTGTCCAGAGGAAGATTGCTAGGAAGATGAGAGGGAGATTGGCCTGCCATTGTTCTGAAGGCAGTGCCAATTGTGATATTTTGGGGGCAGTAAAGGACAGCTAGAGTATATGATTTAGATTCTTCTTTATCTAAAAGGTTTTTTTTGTTCTATTGTTCAGCAATTGTCACCTTCAGGGAATACCTCCTAATATTCTTCTGAAGGTGTTCTTTATCTGCCCATTCTTCATCTAATCTTCTCTTCTCCCTTACGAAGACCATCACAGTCACTCTTATTTCTTGTCCTTCTTTCCAGAGTTATTCTACACTGAACGTGCTCATGTCCGTAAGCTGAAAGTCCTGGATCACTTGTTCTATCAGCGTGTGTACCGCGAAGGGATCCTGACAGCGCCTGACCTGCGGAAAATATTTTCGAACCTGGAGGATATCCTCCAGCTTCACAGTGAGTGAGGCCGTCTGACTGCTGGGTTAATAAAGCAGTGATTAGGGTGACTAGCCCAGAAGGCTTCATTGAGGGTGTCGCATCTAAGGCACGAGGGGCTGCCTGGGGTTTTAGGGCCTCAGATTGTGCTG